GTGTATAAGCTTCGAGACATGCAAGACAAAACATGTCTACATAACCATCCGCTGTGTTGCCACATCTACATAGAGCATTCTTAGTTCCAAGAACTATATGAATTCTTGTAGACAGATGACAAATTTGGGAATTTTATACTTGGAATCAGTCTAAAATTTTTTACACATTTTATAAAGTCTGTAAATTATAATATCTGATTCCATATTCTTTCTAGAAAGAAGCAGCGTTTATTTGGTTCGTTTATCACAAAAATTGTAGAAATCACAGCAATTTTAGGAAATGATTAGTTTTTATTGCTTTAAAATTGCGGGTATTTAAATCAAATCCGTCCCGCTGCCATTACCGCAATTTAAAGGGCCGTCACTTAAAGGTTAAAAGGTGACCTTTCTTATTAATAACATCAGTCTGCAACAAATTAAATATCTGAAGAATTATACTTATTTTATAGTAAACCTATAATGAATCCAAAAATGATATCCATTTTGCTCATCATGTACTGATTTTCTTGCAAACAGTCATATGTTAGTTATGGCAGTGATTCCTGCACTGTCAATAATGTGGTCCCACAATGCTGACATCTCACAACTTACTGTTTTGTAGTAATATGCGGCTGAAATCAAACCTATTATACCCCCATCTGTCTTTATCCTGCTACACTGAAGCACATAGGACAGCCTTGGTTATTGGTTTGGACCTACAGTTACCTCCTTCAAGGAGAGAGTTTGGTGTTAGGTGAGAATAAATCCTATGGCCAACTCCAATATTTACCTCTTAATCCTTCAGTTCCAGGCTCGGTGCACTGTACATTAGCAGTTTCTGTCACATGCCACCGGGCTCGGTACAGGGTACGCGTATCGCAGCTCTAAGTTTCAGCTCTTAATTTGAACCATTGTTTTTTATGTAAAGTACTTCTTTTGGTATGAAATTAAAGAGGAAATTTCATTTTGTATATTTGTTATCCCACTTTGAACTTGCTGCAGGAGTTTATTACATTTGAAATCTTTAAAAAAGTTTTCTATTTCAACACTTGGTGTGCTTGTTACCATACAAGCCTACCTCTGCCTAAGGGAATTATTATGAACTAAATATGTTAGATCGATACTCTGTACTCTCCTCTATCCTGATTGAATGAAAAGTCGATTCTCTTGAGGCATATTCTGAACTGTGCTGCTCCAACATTGGTATCTGTAACTATGAGAAGACACATGGTGAATCTATGACTTAAAGAGCCGTGATGTTGACCCTGAGAAGTGTGTTATGACTGCTACATAGCAAATGGTAAACAGTTCACTATATGAATGGTACCATTGTAACCCCCTTTGTTCTATAAATACGCATCATGCAGTCTGGTTAGTCAAGGCCAGCTGCAAGGAACGAAGTGGTCAGCTGTGTTGTGTCATGACCAGTGGAGAATGTATTCACTTCAAGCCAAATCAGAACAAAGTTTTATCAGATTCGGAATTAGACACTGAAAATGGATGTTTTTGCTTTTCTCGATTCTGTGGTAAATGACAGAATTGAGAATAGCACAAGCATCCACGGGGAGAATATGCATAACTATAAAAATAAGTAAAGTAAAGTAAAGTAAAGCTATCCCTGTACCAGGCCATGAGGGCCCATAGGGTTGTGAGACGTTGAGGGTCCCACATTATCTAGACGATCGGCTCAAAGATGGCGGTAAGGTTATCAGCCTTACACGCCGGCCACTCTTTACTCCCCAGCAAAATTATTTAATTAACTCCTGGTACTCATTTCTGTTAGAGGCTGAGTAAACCCCAGGGCCTAGTGCGGCTGGAAGGATTAGGTCAAATGAAAAAAATCTAATGACCTCATCGGGACTTGAACCCGCGACCTTCCGGCTTGTAGCATAGCCCCTCAACCACTACGCTACTGCGTGCAAAAATAAAATTTCTGAATGCGATGATATGTAGGAATAACACAATGAAAAGAACAGATCAATTGTCAATCAGAAGTCAGTCAATTGAGGGATGCTCTGTGAAATATGTTAATGCTGTAGAACACAAAATGCTGGGTCAACATTCGTCAGACAAAACAGTGCCAAATCTAAGAGAAGAAAATTTTATAAGCAAGATTCCACCAACTGTGAAGAAATCAAAACCACAGAAATGGAGTGTTGTGGGTCAAAAACTGTGTACTGGTGTGACGCATGTGACATGGGACCCTGTGTAGAACGTTTTCACAACTAACACACCCAGCTGAACTTCTAAGGTAATATGATACTATCATTCATAATTTTTATAGGTCTACTGTGCCAAAAAATAATTTTAAAGCAGTGTAGATCAATACACCGACTCTATATACATTTCTGAATGTAGTCCGAAAAATAGAAAAACAGAACTCCAGTTTTTCGCAATTTATTACACTTTAAGTGAAATGTTGCACTCTCCGATTTAAATATTTAAATATCCTCCGGCATAGAAGTTGAGTAGAAATTTAAATGCCCACCAGCGTTGAAGAGTTAAGGAAGCATTCAATTACAGCCACCATCTGCATTAGACTCACCCTCTACCACCATTCCCTAGGAACACCTGCATGAGAAATAATTTTGTACAGCACTGGTTTTCTTCCATCCACAAAGTCTTGGGAAGTCTGTTACTGGATGTCATAATCATTAAGGATTCCCCTCATGGAGGTTAGGTTTCAATTATAATGTGGCACAGATTGAGATCAGGTCTCATCAACGGGAGATAACAGGAAAAGCTGCAGTAACAACTGTGGATATGCATATGAAGATCTAAAACTATGACAGTAAAGTAAGTGAAAAATAGATACATTAAACCACCCAGGCACATGCATGCACGCACACACACCAATGCAGACGAATGCCAAAGTTTTCATGATATATAACACCCACCTACTGACAGTCTTACCTATAGACCATAAATTGAATGGTGAAATGAAAATCGTACAGATATCCTTGAAGACTCTGCCATAACTCTCTCTCTGGAGCTCAAGTCTGCCTGGGACCAGTGGTGGGGCTCTGCTATCATTATGAATAAATGGGAGTGATTGGTTGCAGACATCCTGACGTCAGTAATCCAAGATAAGATTCTCCTCACACATTGCAGGGCTCAACTGCTGGCCTCTTTGCTACTGAGGAGCAGCAGCTATTCTCTCTCAGGAGCTCTAGTGAGAGGCCCATGAGGGTAAGACCCAAAGAAATATCTCGATGGGGTTAGTAACCTGTCCATCAAGGAGATATGACTAGCAGCAGAAGCAGGCCAGGAAGAGGAGCATCCATTCATTCTGTAGGAAACTGAGCTCTCAGTTGGAGCTTGACTGTGGGTCTAGCTGGGGCACATGGTAGGGACTCAGCTCTCCATGTGGGTCAATGACAGATAGCAGCTTGGATATCCTGCTGCTCTAAGTCCAAGGGAAAAGTACATTATGCAATGCATGATTTGGATAGGCACAGATTAAAGATCTTTGTCAATGCATGGATTGAGCAAATGGATATTAAGACAGCATTAGCTTTGACAGTTTTGATTATATGTATGGTCTAGGCCAGGGGTCTCCAAACCTTTTGAACCGTGGGCCACATAAGGCAATTCAGCTCTTTCAACGGGCCAGATAAAATGAGAAATTAATAACTCTAGGTATATGAGTTTTATTGAAAGCACAGAATTTCATAAACTAAATACAAAGTACGTGAGAATAAATTATCGTATATTAATGACAACAGACAGTAGCAGCAAATGCTCATATTCTCATCACAAATTATA